GTTTCTTTTTTTTCCTTCACTTTTGTTTTCTTCCTCGATTCAGCCTGAACGTGCAAAATTCGGCCGGAAACTGCTATAAAACATTCGCCCGTGGATCTATCTTCCTTAGAAATATGACACTCACGAATACAGTTCACGTTTTTTTTTTTTTTTCTTTAATACTCATGTTTATATTTCCGTAATGGCCTATTGAATATCAATTGTTTTTTTTTTTCACGAAGAAAATACACATGATTCGTAAACTCTTCTCTCTCTCTCTCTCTCTCTCGTTCTCTCTCTTTTTTTTTGTGTCAGCAGTATATCTCTCTTACTCTCTCGTTCATTCACTCTTTCTCTCGTCAACATCCATCGCGCCATTCTTCCCCACCATTTTTCTCTCTTTTTTTTTCCTCGTATAACAAAATTTAATAACCGGAATATCTCTGTACAAACATTTTCGTCCTCTTCTTTCACGCCACTCCCCTCCACTCTCCCGTCGCCGAAAAGAACACAACTCGCACGCCACACTTTACACCCTTTAGTCAAAATTTTGAATTTCGAACCTCGCCTACCAAATATCGCCCCCCCCCCCACCGTTTCCCCACCGACCAGTCCACCCCAAATCATTCGCTCCTATAATACACATTCCCTGTCTTTGTATATTTTCTTTTTATTTTATGTGTTCTTCAGAGTTCTACCCGCCACACGCAATTCTTTCACAATTCTCATTCTTCTCTCTCTCCCTCTCTCTCTCTCTCTTTTTCTCGGTTTTCTTCTATTACTTTCCGTGTCTCCGCATTTGCCTCGTTTCTTTGTATGCTTCGTTTATTTTGTTTTTTAGGAACAGATCACTTTGCTCGTATCGTTAAATCGTATATCCTAGAGAATAAAATACCTTACACGTGTACGCGCGTTTTTTTATTTATTTCTTCTTCTTCCTCTTTTTTTTTTTGTTTGTTTGTTTACCCTTAGAAATTTGTTTTCCATATTCGTCCCCACCCGCCCTCTGTCGTGTGTTTCTTTCTCTCCACTGTTTCTCCCTCTTCGTTTCCTTCGTTTTCACACCTGAACGTTTCGCGATTTTTGAACCGTGCAAATTTCTCTTCTTTCCCCCGTCCACGTCAAACGTCGCGTGTGTCGATTTAACACGTGGTACACAACGTGCCCCTCCTATCTCGCCGTGGCCTAGCTATTTCATAGCTGATCACGAATATTAAAAGTATCTCTTTCATAGATTCTTACAATGTTACACAGTCGCCTCTAGTTGTCTCTCGCATTTTTAATATGTACACACACACGCTACCCTTCGTCTCGCGGCTCCTAGCTACGCTCCTGCAAGGATCTCGTGGTTTTTCTTTTTCTTTTTTTTTTTTCTTTATTAATTAATCATACTGAATTATCCCATTACAACGGCGGGGTATCGAAGTACGTGTATGTATGTAAGTATCTGTGTGTGTGTGTGTGCGTGTGTGTTACGTTCATATACTTTTTCCTTCTCAATCTTCATTTTATACTCGCAATCATACTTGTGTTACTCTCGTCCCGTGTGTCTCTGCCTGTGTGCACGTATATGTATGTGTATGTGTTTTAATTATACTCGAGCTGAGAGATATTTAAGAAATCGTGTCGTACCATTACTTTTTTTATATTACTTTTTTTTTTTTTGCATTTTGGGATTGGGTTTAGTTTTCGCCTACAGTATCGTTTATTAACGGCAAGGAAGGAAAAATCGTCGAGAGAACAATGTGTCGATCGTTTGCGCGCGCTCTATATTCTCTTCTTCCTCGTTATCATCGTCGTTTCTGTTTTTTTTTTTTTTGTGTTTTTTTTCTCGTTATTTAAAAACGACTACATCCTGCCCTCCAGTTTTTTTTTTTAGATCAGACGAAAGAAAGAGAGCCTTTCACTTGAAGCGGAACACATTCAAAAAGTAAAGAACGCTATTATCAACTATCGATTAACCGGGGGAGAATACATGAGAATATTTTATCCTTGTTGTGGATGGTCGATATTTAAGCTTCTTCGTTTAATGGTATTATAATTTATTTTCTTTATTTACTCAATGTTTCCCTTCTCTCTCTCTCTCTCTCTCTCTCTCTCTCTTTCTCTCTCACATACACACACACTCTCTCTATTTTTTTTTTTCCTCCTTCTTTTTTATTCACCAACGAACCATTCCTCTGGATGCGTAAATACGAAGATTCGTCCGTGGAAATTGGAAAGCTGTGTCCCTGGTTTGTACCGCGTTCCGTCCACAAACAAACCGAGCTCGAAGACGACGACGACGCGTTTCAATTGCGCCACGGAGTCGCGCGCCGGAAGTGAAATTAACGTCCTGGCTACGTACAGCGTGATTCACTGGCTCACGTTTATCAGTGTCCCTCGCTAGGTGAATTTGCAACCGAATTAGTATCGTTATCGAGTGCACGTTGCTCTTTCTTCATGTTGTACATACGTACACGTGTACGATATATACGCATATAGATTCAGCCTCGGCCGTTTATTATCCGTGGAATTTATATCGGTGATAGCTCGAGCCGTGGTTCAGAAACCCTCGCGGTTCCCCGCTCGATGACTCGTCAACCCTAACCATCCTTGCGTGTGACAATATCTCGATGTTCCGTAACGAATGGAAGAATGATGGTTCCCCTGAATCTGTTTGGAAAATGTGAGTTCGGTTCAATTTTCAACCTTTAACCAGATTTTCTTCTTTTTTCTTTTGCAATTTTTCTCTAGCTAAAGGAAGAATTGAATTTCCTTTTTGTGTTTGCATTCTTTTTCTGTGCTTGTGTGTAACTCGATTGCAAATTTGCCCGGAGACGGAGGAGGAAGACGGAACGCGTGTGAAATATAAATATTATCGATACAATTCACCAGCGGCCAAGCAGATCGAACATTTAGGAACGAAAGATGCGTAAATGTTTTTTAATACGTATACCTCGTATATGGCAGATTATTACGGACTAGTACTTTTTTTCACTTCCATTTTGTTTTACTCTGCGGGATGGGAAAGACCTCGAAACTGCCACCCTCGACGTCCCTTTAGCGTTTGAAAAATTTCTTCTCTCATCTTCCTCTTTTTTTTTTTTTTTTCTCTTCAAAGGGCAATCAAAGGAGGATCCTTACGATCGATCGGATAAATATACTTTCAAAAAGACGTTATTGCGTTAATTTACTCGCTACAAAGTTCCATTCTTCTTATCTTCCTCGAACTTCATTAGTTTTTCTTCGTTTCTTCTTCCTCTTTATTTTTCCCCGTTTCGATCGATTTCATTATCTAAATACACGCGTATAAATTTACAGACGAGCACACCCAGAGAACAATATTTGATCCTTGAAACATGTTTCTTCTTTATTTTCTTCTTCTTCTTCTTCTTCTTGCTTCTTCCCTCCAACGAAGCCTGTAAACGAGTGGTTGGTTGGTTTCACCGGTAAGAATGAGAACAAAAACTATAGTTGGACGATCGTTATATAAACGACAAGGCGGCGCGTTGCTTGTGAGAAAACGTTTCCGTTGCTATTACTCTTCTGCGTTGTGGTCAAAAACTGAATTCCATTTGTATCCCCATTTTCTTGTGTATATATGGCAAATTGTGAACTGTGATCGGTACTGTATATCTGTATACTGTTTCTGTTGCTGTGGTGGTCTCGGTACTGTTGCTGTTGCTATATTATTTTCTTCCTCGTTGCTTCAACTCTATGTATGTTTCTTTTCTCGTGTGCCAAAAAAAAAAAAAAAAAAAAAAAAAAAAGAAAAACGGACCCGGGAGAAAGACACGCGCACACACACATAGTCGGGTCCGTTTTCTCTCTATTCTCGATCTCTCTTTCAAGTTCTCGTTTTGTAGATGACGATCTCGCGTAGAGAATATCGTTCAAGTTCCATGGTTCGACGAATCTCGGAAACGAACGTATTTCTTTACGCGAGGCTCATTTTGTGCTCCGTCTGACGGGTCTCTTAAAAATGACAGACGATTCTCAGTAGCTGGAAGCTTCTCGATCGTTTCACGAACTCTTAGCCGCGCTTATCTGTGCGAATTTATCTTAACGGAATTATAATACTTATATCTAATTTTCACGAGCCGAGGCGCGACCTGATAATTGTCGTTTGATTTCCGTCTTATCACACCCATTGTGCTCACCCCGTGACAAACGACGCATGATTTATTTTACAGGTTATCCGATCGAATTCGTGCTTCTTTTAGTTCGTTTCAAAAGCCCGCGAAATTTGAATTTTCGTTCTCTCTTACCGACTGATGATAACGATCCATGCATCGTTTGCCGGGTGTGTATTTGTATTTATATACATATATCTATGTATTATCGTCGGTTGTGTTTCTGTTTGAAGGAAACAATTTCTTTTTTTCTTTCATCGTCCAAGAAGACACTAATTTTCGACCGATTTTTCATTTTTATTCAACAAATTGAAAGGATAAGACGACGAGGTTGAAGCAATTATCAACGCTGAACGCTCGACTCCTGTACATCACATTAGTCGTTAAGGTTAGAACTATTTACAGATAGGTCTCGTATACGCCTGCAAATCACAATGATTGATTTTTAACATTTCGATCGACGTGGAGCGCGGCGACTTTAAAAATTCACAGCGCCGTTAATGCTGGGACGAGCGTGAATTTTTAAAGCGATTACACCATCGGACGCGCTGATTTGTCGGAATTATTTTATTAAACGTGACACTGAGATTCGCTGATCCTCGTTTCTCTCCCTTTCACTCCTGTTGTCCCCCGTAGTGTTGGCTTCTCCTCGGCTCGCTCGGTCGAGGAGACGACTTGATTCGATCGTCGACGCGTTCCTTGGTTCTCGAGAGATCGAGGAATCGATCGACAATACCGGATCTCGCTGGAATCTCGCTTTTATCCGTGTAACGTAAATTCGAGTCCTTAAAGCTTTTTTTTTCCTCTCATCCTCATCTTTCATTTTTCCCTTCTCTTGTTCACTGGTTCACGCACTGGTTCACGCACTGGTTTCACGCACTATCCTTCATCACTCTCGCGTTCTTCTGCGATTGCCTCTTGTTACAGAACCAAATCCTGATCACCTCTCGGTCGTAGCCGAGGCGTTGCGCTAAATTCGTGATTTCGTTACCTGAAACCGAACAGATAAACAAAGCCATCGTTTAATCGAGAGCTACACTTTCATTTCACTATTCGTTTTGTTTTCTAGTTCCATCCCGATCTACTTGAAGATACATTTCTCTCTAACATCGAGGAACGTTCTTTTTCTTTTTCTTTTTTATTCGTACCAAATGCGATGCTTTTACATTGATCTCTCGTTTTTTCTATGATTTTCCTGCTTTTTTTTTTTTTGTTATGCAGCTGCAAGTGGAATACTTCGAGTGGAAATGAAAATTTGAAACAGAATTTTGTTTTTAACTGAAAATGAAAATTGTCCTCGAGTGTGACGCGATATTTGAACGCAAGCAGGTTCACATTTAACCCTTTCGTTTTCATGATTATCTGTTACCGAGCAGGTCAGCGTCGAGGAATGGAAAATCCTCGGGGAATTTCCCCCGGGGTGAAAATTCGAAAGTTGCGAATGAAGTTTGTTCAATTTGAAATCGAAAGTCTTTTTTCTCGATCGTGACTCGATATACTGCAAAACACGCGGGAACGTGTGTTCACGATTAGTCTTGTCATTCGGTTGCGTAAAGTCAGCGGTCTCGAAGAACGAAAATCCTCCGTAATTGCCGGAGTGAAAGTCGGAAAATTTCTGAATTAAATTTGATTGGAATTGAAATTTTTTCTTGACTGTGACTCGATGTTGTAACGCAAGGGGTTGATATTCAGGAATTCTGGGAACAAACATGAAAACGTGTGGAAAAATGAAACGGCAAATGGACGAGATGTGTTGTATATCGTGGGAAAAATACGAGGAGAAAACTCACCATTAGGATGAGTATTCCTGGTGAAGTGAATATTCAGCACTTCCAAAGCCTGCGGGGTGAACGAAGTTCGCCGTTTTCGTTTCTTGCTCGTTTCCACGCCGATGAAATCTGTCAGCTGATGTAAACCGTTCTTGTGCCTGCAACCAAATACGATATGTGTCCCTCCTCTCCTCGGTTCTTTCGAATAAACTCCACACTGCACGGCCAATTGTCAATATACGTTTCAACAAATCGAATCAAACTGAGAAGAACGCCACAAAAAGAGGGGACGGAGTAATTTCTGTCGCGATTCAATCCAGTTCGAAACTGTCAACAGATCGTGTGCACTTTACGATGATATTGATACGATCATACAGAAAAATGAAATAGCAGAAAATAAGGTGGGAAATGTACGAAGATTACAAATTTGTTCGAAGTTGTTCAAGGAAAAAGTATGATTGGAAGAGGTCAGGATACGAAGGGAAGAAATATATTTTTGTGTTTTTATATTTAACAGGTGTATATGAATGGATGTGAACGCCGAGTCGATCGAATTAGCCTGGAAATATAAACGCAGAAAGGTTTGGGTCGAGGGAAAAAGGAAAAAGAAATCAGCGGCATACTGTTAGAGCATCGACTTCATTTCGAAAACTCAATTTTCATCTCACGCCCAGTGCAAATACTCTCCGATCATGCTCTAATCAAATATTAAAACAAAACACGCCGGTCGGCTGTGTGTTAACTCGGCAAACTTTCTCTACATCAAAGCGAGCCCCGTTGAAACCGGAAGCGCCATCGTAAACAGACCAGGGAGTTCGTCGCCGCGAGAATCGTCCGGCGTTCATCTCCGGCAATTCGCTGACCGATTCTCGGCTCGCCTCGCTATATATCCGCCTTCCTATTTTTTTCTTCTTTTTTCTTTTGTCGCTTAGGTCGAAAAGAATACGAAAGCTAATAGGAAGAGAGAAATAGTGGGAAAGAGGGAGGAGGAGAGAGAGGGAGAGACAGAGCGAGAAGGAAATGGACACGTTGAAAGAGGGCGCGAAACAAAGACACGAAGAAAACAGAGAGTGAGACAGATAGAGGGAGAAGGAAAACAGAGAGGGTGAAAATGACAGAAGGAAAGAGAGATAGGGAGAGTGAGAAGGAAAGAAGAAGAGATGCGAGAGAAAGGGAGAGCAAGGTACAGAAAAAAAGGAATGACAAAGGGAGGAAGAGAGTGAAATGGCAAGAGGGATATAGGTAGTGAGAAGGAGGGAAGAAGAGAAGTGACAGGAAGGGAGAGCAAGGTACATAGAAAAAAGAGAAAAGGAGAGATAGAGAGAGGGAGTAGGCGAGAAAAGCAAAGTGAGAGAAAGAAGAGAAGACACAGAAGAAGAAAGGGAGAGACAAATGGAGGAAGAGAGAGAGAGAGAGAGAGAGAAACAAAAGGAAAGTGAAACAAGAGGAAGCGGAGGGAACAAAGCCGCCGTTTTGCGAGACATTCATCCCCCCGACTGATTGGCCTCCGCGTCCCTAGCCGATGAACTTTCCCGAATGGAACGGCGGAGAGCGACGCGAGGACATCGCGACGTTCGCCGTCGCGCAAATGAAATTAGCGATCGAAGCGTCGCTGCCGCTTCGAGAGACAGAGTGCGAGAGAGTGGGAAAAAATGGAAAAAAAACCTCGTAACCGTAAACAGGAGAACTTCCGCCGGGAATCGCGGCTAAACGAGGCAAACGCGTAGAAAGGGTGGCGGAGGGCGAGAGAAAGAGAGAAGGGTCGGCGTCCCGACGCACACAACACACAGAGCTAACCACCGGCGACGGGGGCAGAGCGTAGGTGGACGCCGCTGTGGAATTTATGTTTTTAATTTAACTCCGTATGACCAACTGTCGAGCCCCGCCGAAAAAAGTGCAGGCCGAGCCATTAGCATCGCGCGGTGATATTTCGTCGAATCCGCGAAAACAATATGCTAATGGAGAAAGCGGAGAGCGCGAAGAACCGATGCTTCGGAACCAGCCAAATGGAGATGGGGGTGAATTTTCCAGCGTGGAGCTGACGTTAACTTCAGAAAGTGGTGGTACGCGGCGATTCGTCCACGATCCAGATTTTTTCGCTGTTTTATAGGGAAGATCGTTTGGACGATGAAACCCAACTATTCTTCCCTCGTGCGTTCCCTTCGACTCTTGTTTGCGTACCGAAGGACGAAATTGAGACCTCATAAGTAATTTACTATGGAAAGTTTAGTGGGAGAGATCGAAGAATTTGTAGATCATGTAATATGAAATGCTAGATTTCCCAGGGAGGAATGATAATCGTTCTTTTAACATTCCTCAACAGTGACTTACCAAACATTGCACGAACCAACACAGAAGAACTCGGAACATTTCAACACTGAAGCATTCCCTGGAATGATAAGGAATGTGAATTTTCACATTGCCCGACTTAACACATTCCTCGCTATTCCTGACATTCCTTCGCTTTAATCATTCTGAAAATGAACGTCGTCACTTTTGACCTGATATTGTTCTTAAATATCGATTGTTATTCAATCACGAAGAATTTCAGATGGAAATTTTCTGGACTCTTCGACGTGAGTTTAATAATACTTCCGCATCGGGGATCACTGCTCCGTTTGTTGGCTATTGTTTGTTGTTTAACGGTGACAGAGGCTGTCGGTGACTTAATTAGCGAGAAGATGTGGTAGAATTTATTAATTTGATAGAAAAAGCACTCTCCCCCGTCGGAACTGTTTCTCTGTTCAACGTCCCCGTGTGTGTGATTAAAATTAACCATACGATAATTACATTCTTCCTACAAAAGAGCTTTATTTTTGGCGGCGCACGGTTTATTGATTGCATTCGTGTTATTGGTATGGAAGTTTGATGAAGCTCCGAGAGCCGATGCATCCGCCGAAATGTGAATTCAGCCATTAAGAAAATATTAAAACCAAGCGAATAAAAATAATCAAAATCAATTTCATATTGTACCCCTAGAGCCGCGTTATACCCATTGTCTTTTCACCGGTTAATAATCGTTGAAAAACCTTCGAAACCGATGTACCTATATATTCCTCGAAAAGTTTCCACCGCGAAACACACCGCGACCTCGAACGAGAAAAGAAGAATTCAATCTTTTCATTACTTCCGCGTCACAATTACAAAATCCCACGACACCTGTGCGCAATTATCCCCGCGGTATCATTTCGAAACACCACTCGCGGTGCATCATGCAAAATCGAAGTCACGAAATCCACCTGTATTATTAATCCCAAGACGATTACCGGGCATTACGAGCAATTGAAATGCAAAAGTTCGAGTTCCCGGAACTCTCGTCAAAGGCTCGTCGAGAGAGAAAGAAGAAAAACGGAGAAAGGCACAAAGGCTTCGATAACCGGGAGAGACACGCGACACAAATTAAAAGGCGACCGACTCAAAGCGGTCGCAAATATTGTAATTGCTTCTCCAGCGTCAATTTACCGTTGCTTTCAATAATCTTAATAAACGTTCCGCCTTCGAAAGGAAAACGTTATATTCGCGCCAGTGCTACGGTATCGCGGAGCGAGGAAAGAGCTGACAGAAGAGGAAGAGTAGGAGGGAAACCAGAAGAGCGAGAGGAAGGTAGAAAACGTAGAATCAAACCGCGGGCGTCGAGAGGGTACAAGCTCGAGCACGTATTCCCGCACAGGTGAGAAGCCAAACGAACGGAGAAAAGTGGAAAGAGAGGAAGTCGGTAGCTCTAACGGGGAATAAGGACGCGGCTGAAACGTGTCGGCGAGGTTTAATCCGCGAGGGCGAGAGAATAAGCATGAGGAAACGTGAATTAAACGTCGTCGACCAGAGGGAAGGAAAGAAATGGAGAAAAAAGAAGAGAAAACAGGCAGCAGTGAACGCGTCAAGACAATACGCACCGTGTCGTCTTTTCTCTTCTCTTCACATGTATGAATCACGAGAAGCACGCGCTATCAGACAAGCTGAAAAGCGCGTGCTTAGCCACCGGGCTGCTCCTCTAAATCCCACCGTTAAATCAGCTAATCGAATATTTATTAGAAACTCCTTACGGCTGGCATTAAACGAGCCCACCTAAATCTCGCCGAGTCTACATGTACATGTACACACACGCAGAAGCACACGTATACTAAACTCGGAGAAAGATCAACGGTAGAATGCTACCGGTAGTGTAACAGAGAACCTATCCAGAGCGTCTATGTCGTCGTCGTCGTATCGAGGTAACAGCAGCTGGAGACTGTTGGAAAAATAGAGAGAGAGCTGTGTGCAACGGAGACGAAGAGTACGAATAAGAAGAGCAAGGAGGTGGATCCTCCGGCGTGGGTGTACCAAGGAATCGCGGGTATTAACGTTTTACGCGAACGTGTGGGAGTAAGTATGAAACAAGAAGAAGAGGAGGAGGAGGAGGAAGGAGACGAAGAAGAAATAAGTGGCGAGACGGGAAGTTGGAAGAGGTAAGAGAGCTAGTTTCGAGGAGGAGGTGGTGGTGGTTGGAGAGAAGAAACGACAGGAATCGTGGGTAAGTGCTGGTGTGTACAGGGTAGGAGGAGGAAGGGGCGAGGGTGGGAGGAGAGGGAGAGAACGGTAGGCAGGAGGGGTACATCAGAAACCTGATTTTAATTAGTCCACAGTTTAATTACTCGGCAGATAAATCGTGCACGTGCACCGCATAAACTAGCCGCTTTCATTTTTCCCGGACGCGGCCGGCACGGTCGCGCTTACTTCTACGCCGCGAGAATGCGGGATGGGTCATTGTTGCCCGCTCGGTGCGCGCGCGGAAAGAGAAATGACCGCGCTTAAACCGTCATCGAATCGGTTGGATAATAGTCGGCCGGGTTTTAACAGGCTGACGGATTCAACCGCTCGTAATCCTTCCACGTCCAACCGTTGCCTCGCGGTTCGCAGAGAGCTGCTGCTGCTGCTGCTGCTTCTTTCAGATACAGCACACCGTGAATAGGTTTTTCTAAGACGACAGGGCTGCAAGAGGTATGCTGAGAGATAATGCCGAATGGACGTTTGACAGTGTCTTTCTTTATTGTGGTTTGTTGAAGGAACTGTGACGTGAGTTTGTCTGGGGTGAGATTGCGGATTTTGGTTGGTAGGTTTCAGATTTTTGGGAGATAATTGAGTACTCTGAAGGCGTACAGTTGTTTAAATATGTAAATGTGATAATCTACTTGTAGATTTAAAGCGTTTTTTGCTTAAAGGGTTAAGAGCAGGTTTCTCAGAAATTTTTTAAACCTCGGACAGCGAATGCCGGGTCAAATGTGACCCGAGACTAAAATCTTTCTCGTACGCAAGCGAAAGTACACTTTTCTCGTTTCACCGGGCACTGTGTCGTGTAAAATTGTACAAACGTACTATTATACGATTAAAATAACAAACATATTGATAATACAAGGAGAGTAGAATGTCGGTTGAAACGAGAGACGTCAGAAAGATGGGTCAGCGGTGACCCGTTAAAGATACGAAAATAAAAATTGTGTCACGCTGTATTCTCGTTAAAAAATTTAAAGAAAAAGTTTACTGTCGTTCTTTTTTCGTCGAGGTGTTTTATTTGGTAACGTGCAACATTCCCTCGGAATGACGGAATGAGAAGAGAAAAGACGTGGAGGACTTTCGCTTTTCCGTATAAGCGCACGCGTAATCAAGAAACGAATCATTAAACGGGAAAATAGTTCCGGGCCAATAACACCGGGATGATTCGCTGTTTCGCCGCGCGAAGGTGTTAATGCACAGTCAACAAATCATTTTGTTCGTTTTGTGAAAATCTGTTGATGCTACGCCGCGGGAATGCGGAATGGGTCATTGTTGCCGGCTCGGCCGCGGAAAGAGAAATGACCGCGTGCTCCTGTCATCGAATCATCCGGTTCACGGTCGAGATACATGCTGCGTACGTCGATACGCTACCCTACATATATATCTGTATAATGCATGTTTTATAACACGTGTCCGTGTGTACGTTTTTGTATATTCATATATACGTGTATCTTGCCGTGTATGTTTTGTCGCGTGTACACACGTTATACTATACATTTTCCGACGCTTTAACCGACAATGAAACGGCATCACGGTGAAATCGAAACCATAAACCGTGTTAGGCGTCGGTCG